GGAAAGAGATAGAGACAGTTTAATTGCGATTAAAATCACGTGCAATATAAAATTATCGGAATTCCGTGCAACAAGTTAGATTTTTCAATTAAGACCCTTTAATATTAAAAATATACATATTTTGATATTTCATCAAATATAGAAATACAAGTAGGTTTTATTTAGTTTTTTAACATATCTCTTTTTTTTTTTGAAAGACTTGTTAACGTCTTCATCGATATTATTCATCTCGTAAAAATCAACGATATAACAATTTCAAGTTATCTTAATATATAGAAGTTAAAACTTACTAAATAGTAACATATATTGTTGACATAAACATGCATAATTATTAATTTCACTTTACATGACATTATTACCATCGTATTTTTAATGCAAACGTTATCAAAAATATCACTATAAATGATATAATGTCGCGATGATATCATAATATACTTAATTGTATTCTGATTGCATATCACAGGAATACTTTATAAATAGAAAAATTATGACTAAATAATTTTCATATTTATGTATTTATTAAAAAGAAATAGATGTTGCAAATTCTGTTTTATTATTCAACTTTTACAGAATATTTTCAACAATCATCTTCTCTAATTTTAATATCATTCAAATAGTATTTCTAATAATTTAAATTTAAATGGACAATTCGCTAGAAATTTAAGTAATTAAGTTATCTGATATTTCAAAACTGGCACTGAACTTTTTTTCGACAAGTTGTACCAAAGACTATGAACGACAAATTTTATTTCATTTTGCAGCATTGTTCACTTTGTAAGTTATTACATTTATACGCGACGTTTCTGAATCGTCGATTTCAGCCAGCAATCTTTGTTGATTTCTCTCAACGTGTTTTATTTACGTAGTGAAATTAGAAATTAATACAAAACCATGTGACCATGTCGGAAACGATTGCAAATACACGGTCAAACAACGACAACCGCGACAAAATTTGAAGAAAGTTTTGCAACATATTTTGATATTTCATCAAATATAGAAATACAAGTAGGTTTTACTTAGTTTTTTTAACATATCTCTTTTGTCGAAAAAATTTATTAATGTTTTCATCGATATTATTCATCTTGTAGAAATCAACGATATAACAATTTCAAGCTATCTTAATATATAGAGGTTAAAACTTATTAAATAGTAACATGTATCGCCACTTCAAAATATGGGTGCAGCTCAGTTTTTTCGATAATCAATAATTTAATCATAATAAAAGCTCACATTTTTCACTTTAATTTTTCATTTTCATTTAATTGTTATAAAATTTTTAATTATACTGTCAAACATATTGGGTTGTTCGGAAAGTAATTTCGTTTTTTCTCAACAGAGGACTATTTTTTCACAGCCAACTTCACACTTAAGCCGCATAATCATTATACATAATACTTTAAGTATTTTGACAGCTGATATAGCAAGGCTTGCTTGTGAAAAAAGTTTGATTGATTCTACGCAGTAGTTTTTGGTTGGTGCCCTATCAAATATGGAAAGTGAAAAGCAGCATTTTCGGCATATTTTACTTTTTTACTATCGAAAAGGTAAAAATACTGTTCAAGCAAGAAAAAAATTATCCGATGTGTATGGAGAAGATGTATTGACAGAACGCCAGTGCCAAAACTGGTTTGCAAAATTTTGATCCGGCAATTTTGATATTGAAGATGCACCACGTTCTGGAAGCCAGTCTGGAGGCCAGTTAAAGCTGATGAAGACACAATAAAGGCATTAATTGATGCAAATCGGCGAATAACAACTCGTGAGATCGCTGAGAGATTAAATTTATCGAATTCGACCGTTCATGATCATTTGAAACGCCTAGGTTTAATCTCAAAGCTCGATATATGGGTTCCTCATGTTCTTTCGGAAAGAAATTTGTGCCGTCGCATTGACGTCTGTGATTTGCTTCTCAAACGTCAAGAAAATGATCCATTTTTGAAGCGCATCATCACTGGGGACGAGAAATGGGTTGTCTACAACATGTTAAACGCAAGAGATCATGGAGTAAAAAAGATGAACCGGCTCAAAGCACTTCGAAAGCCGATATTCATCAAAAAAAGGTGATGCTATCTGTTTGGTGGGATTTCAAAGGAATCGTTTTTTTTGAGCTTCTACCGGACAACACAACGATCAATTCTGAAGTGTACTATCATCAGCTGGACAAATTGAATGATTCACTTAAACAGAAAAGGCCAGAATTGATCAATAGAAAAGGTGTAGTGTTCCACCAAGATAATGCGAGACCTCATACAAGTTTGGTAACTCGCCAAAAGCTTTTACAGCTTGAATGGGATATACTGCCACACCCACCATATTCTCCAGATCTGGCACCTTCTGATTATTATTTGTTCCGGTCTCTACAAAATTTTTTAGACGGTAAAACTTTTACTTCAAATGAGGAAGTCAAAAATCACCTGGATCAGTTTTTTGCCAGCAAAGAACAAAAATTTTATGAGCGTGGAATCATGCTACTGCCAGAAAGATGGCAAAAGGTATTGGACAAGAATGAACAATATATAATTCAATAACATATTTATTCACTATAAGAAAATCGTCTTTCATTTTCATAAAAAAAACGAAATTACTTTCCGAACAACCTAATACATGATGCGATTACACGTGCGTCGATATAAATAATTTAGATAAATATAATTTAGTTTAGTGTTTAATTATTCTCCTTCTACGGATTCAAAATACAGAATTACAGCGACAACACTCGCGTCTTAACGCGTGCAATCGCATGCAATCACATTACTTCGCATGTATTGTGTATTTTATGTTAACAATGTCGCGATAATCTGTCGCAGCGTGATTTCGATCTGATTAGGCAGAGCGAACGGTATCACAAGCGCAATGTGTTTTGTGCACGCGGTATTTCGGGTCGAGCTTTATTATGCCGTTGCCATCCCTCCTGTGCAACAAGAGCATTGCTTTCTCGCAGTGCAGCGTGCTTGGACTAAACTGTGGGCGAATAGTACCTACTACGCGCATATTCTATTACTGTAACAAAATTTATACGATTCGATTGTCTGATAGCAGCCCACCGCGGTTCGTGTACCTCTCACTAGCAGAATTACGCAGTTGTCATTCATACGTCTATGTAGTATACAAATGCGTGCGTGCGATACGAAAGATCATTGTTCACGGTTCCGGATATAATGTGATTGGTAATGCAACGTACGGAGCAAAAGGAGTTTCACACAATGTATGCACGATTTCCTGCCCCCCCCCTCCTTCTCCTTCCCCTCTCTCCTCCCACCTTTCTTTTCCTCCTCCATCTCTTTCCCTCCTTCCCACCCTCCCTCTCTCTCTCTCTCTCCTTCCTTCCCTCCCTCCCTCTCCTTTTTAGTCTGTTCGGAAGGAATCCAAATTTGAAAAATAGAATAGAAATTCGGACCGCAAGCAACGTAATAATTGATGAAACCTATCAAACGTGCTATGCATCAATAAATTGCACTCAAAGCTGGAAACTAGTATGAGG